TATATTTGATTTCCCGAAGTTAATATTGTTAAATTATCCATCTTTTAAAAATTTTTTTTTTTTAACCAGACATAGCAACAAATTTGTGTCAATCACATTTGATTCTAGAGGTGCGCATAAATCATATGATTTCCTTTAATTTTGAATATTGAATGATTATTTGAATCCTTTGTATTATCAAGCTACAAAATAACATCATCATCAAAATTGAGAAACTAATTTTTTTTTGTTGAAAATTAATAATAGTTAGTATATAAAAGGGGTAGTATCTTAGTCATAATTTTACAAATAGTTGGAATTGATAATGATCCCTACATTCTATTGAGTCTGAAGAACAGAACAATTTAATAACAATAAATAATATGTATATTAATATTTTACATGGCTTCTATTGATTTAAGAGAAGCATAATTACTCAGAAGTTGATGGTTTAGCATTAGATGAATATGATGGCTACAATATAATTTTAAATAATTCCAGAAAATATTTTATCACCACTAATAATGGACACCAGTGTCAAGTTATGAATCTTGTTTCAGTCTTTCTTATCAGTTTTGTGAATTATTTATTATTATTATATAAAGTTAACATTAGGTTTGTTATATAATTCAGGCAAACTGAATAAAATGAAGATTTCAAACAATCCAAATAAAAGCAATAATTGAATAATTAAGAAGAATCAATGGATCAAACGAATCATTTAGATCAAACAATTCAAATTAAGAGTCACTCAGATAAGTGGACTAGTCCTGGGACTGTTAGTCCTGTCTTGAGACTGGATTGTCTTAAGTCCTTAGAAAAAAGTCCGGGCTTTTTTTAAACAAATCAAAATATTATATTTGTAAAAGTTATTTATTATATAGAAACAATTTGGAGTGATTATCCCTTAAACGAAATTGCGTCCAGATTTGGACGCAATTTGCAATAAATTACAAAAAAAGGTCTTTTCCTGCAGTTTCACCACAACCATTCTTATAATATGTGTAAAACGTAAAAGTTTCCTTTTGTTTTGTTATAAAAATAAGTGCACATCTTTTATTAATATGTGCTATGTTGATCATTGTTATAAAAAACCATAAATGTTATATAACAATTATATAACGTTATATAACATTCACATCTCTAAATACAAGCAACCCGATTCTAGCCAAAAAAAGCTCAAATTCTATATGCAAATCAAAGTCTGACCTCATCAGATGCTCCTATGATGATGGCCAAGCATTACGCACCTTACCTCTACATATATATTTCGGGGCCCTAGTTTACTCTACTATTTGATAAAGTTTCACTGGGAGTATAATTGAATTCTATATCGTTTGCAAATAAAAAAATATGTAATACAGTTATCAATAATTTTAAAAAAAATAAATGATATATTAATAAAGAATTAACATCAATTTATTATAATAAACAACAATAATAAAATAACAATGAATTACTATCTATTTATTTGTTATTTTAACAATAAAAAAAGAGAGCATTGTACCAACATGATTTTTTTTAAAATATAAAGCTCATATAACACAAATGTCAATCATTTTAAAGGTAGTGATTGGCCCGATTATAATGTCGCGGTCACCTTTCCTTTTTTTAAAGCACTTTTGAATCATAGTGCTGGTGGCGGTGACATTCAAGAGAGTTTTTCCGTCCTACCAAAAGATGTTGATCATTTTGATGATTCACAACTAACATTTTCAATGGAATACACTTTATATAATATTAATTTCATACTTCCCAAAAAATTATAAAAACAAAATCTCATTGAACTTGAATTTGATTTGAATTTCAATGTTCGGCTCATTTTTCATTTTTCAATTTTCAATTTTCATTTGTCATTTATAATTAATAATCATTATTATTAATCATTAATCGTCAGAATATATATATACAACGCTTTTATTTTCGTGAAATCCTTTTTTGTAGGATTTTATTCACTCAAAAAATATGACAATAATCGCTTAAAGTATACATTTCCGTTGCACCAATTTAAATGCCGCTATATCTCATTGTTAAATTAAATTAAAAAATTATTGTTAATATTAATTAATTGATTGATTAATCAGGCATGTAATTTAAAGTGATCAGCGTCCTATATATTCAAAAGGATTTAATTTAATCGGATTCGCCATACAAGATATCTTGATTTTGAATATTACTGCAATAAAATCTTAGAATGTCATCGATCGTACTACATTCTGATTGACGAAGCCCCAAATGGTAATTTCGATCATTCAGAAAAAATCACGTCTGTAATATCAAAATAGGTTAACAATAGAGCTGAATAGGATCGGCTCCAAAACTTCGGCTAGCCATTAGATGTGTATAATATAATCAATTATATGTATTGTGCATGAATTTGAAATCTGCGCGAAATTCAAATCAGCTAATCAGAATTTTGTATCCAAACGCTTCACCCCAAAATTTCAAATTTCAAATTTGATTTCGGGCCGTGTAAAGAGGGTTAAAATCCTAATTTGGTAATAATCGTCTTTAGTCATGCTCATTTAGGTTACGCGGCTAGCCTGATTTTCACGGACAACATATGAAACAGGGCTGGCCGCGTAACCTAAGTCAAGCTTAGTCAAGACAATTATTATCAAATTAAAACTCTAACCCTTTTACGCAGCCAGCCCTGATATGAAAGCAAATTTATTCGTATTTGCCGATTTCGGGGCATTTTATCATTCATTTAAATCATTCTCGGATGTTGCAAATATTAAATGAAAAAATGTAAATTTTCTTTATATAAACATAAAACTGCTACATGTCGTGATAAGAAAATTTTAATAAAACTCATAAAACCTAATACACCATGAATCGTCTACTTATCTTGTCTTTCGTTCTCTTAACCTTTTTCTTCGTTAACACATTTTCCAGTGAGGAAGTAGTGCCCTATAAACTAATTTATTCTCGTCCGCTCATACTCAAAAGAGTCGGAGACAATAAAGTGATTGTAGAAGTTGGATGGGATGGAATAAATGAAAGAGAGGATGGTAAGATTTTTTTTATTTTTTTATATCTTACATAAATGATTTTTCTGAAGATTTTCTAAAAAAAAAAATATAGAACCAGTTCGGACCAGATTTAAGTGTTTTTCTAATGCTGTGACTGTTAAAGGTTCTCACGTGAAGGTAAATTATTCGTCCTTTATAAACTTCAAAATAAACTGTTTATCTTCTTTATTAAAAAATTTTCTTCTAGCATGGTGTATTCGGTGATCATAAAGCCCAATTCGAATTAAACATTCACAAAAAGAATGTCAATGTGAAATGTCGATATGGAGTAATAGATATTGTCCGTTTCTTGGAAACCTTTTCTTTTCAAACTTAATTCATATTTTTTAATGATTCGTCACTGGTTTGGCGATGTTAAAACTTGCAGAATTAATGTTATTTATACCACTTATTTTCTATCAAAATAATCACTAAATTCCTAATATCAATTTTAACATTAAAAAGAAAATATATTATCATATTAACATTGCATTATTGTCGAGAGCTGCTATTGCGCTTTTTAATCGCTATAAATTGTCTCATCAGACCAGCTTATCTAAATATGCTGATGAATTATATAATACTTACCCAAACATTACTATCTATAACGCAGTAAGTAGGCTGTTATGCTTGTGATTATTGCTTGCGGTTATTGTTTGGCATTCTAATTTGTTGGCAAATAAGTATATATGCAGTTCTATATGATTCAGTTGTAAATTTACTAATAACAATTACTGGAGACAGATTTTTTTCATTTTTGGCAGACATTTATAGCCAACGAGGATATGTTTGTGGATATTTTTATCTCTTTATGTTTACTGTCACTAGTGTCACTAGTTTAAAATCAAATTTTGAGTTAATTATATTATTTAGTCAAAAAAATTAATAATAAATTAGAAGGTTATAGAAATTCCGCAAAGCAAGACACTCTGTGGTCACCAAGTAGGTAACTATTTATCTCATCCTCAAATTTGAATGCAATGTATAAAGCCAAAATACAGATTACACCAAATAAACAACAATTCGGCACTTTGTGCCTCGTCCTCAAATTCTAAATGACCTCAAATATGGAAGCAAATGCAAAATCTTCCAGCCTTAAAGTACGAACCAAGTTGACTCAAATGTGAAAACATACACAAACCAAGTTCGCTTTGGATGTAAAAGCAAAACACGAAACCTTCCAGCCTTGAGTATGGAGACAAACACAAACCAATTGTGCTTCAAGTGTGGAAGTCAATCATAACTCAAAGCAAGCCTCAAATATGAAAGCAAATGTAAACTAATTATGTCTGAAATATATTGTGAATGTGAAGTTATTGTATCATGTGATGACTCGTGATGGAATGGTTGCAATCTGATGCTCAAATGGGGTGTGGACAATAGAAACGGACCATGTTGTGAAAAAAAGCAATTTTGAGTTAGTATCACTATTATATGTAATTCCTCATGTAGAACATTTTTAGCTTAGAAACAATACCCACTTCGCTTAATAAAACTTTAAGATACCCTCCATTAAAGTTTTAAAAACAATAGTAAATTACTTGAAATGCAGATCTTTTTTTAAATTTTCTCAAAACATCATTTTCACAACATGGTCCATTTCTATTGTCCAGACCCCATATAATGTATATATATATATATATTTGAATGTGACACATACCGTAACTGGACAATCAAATTCTGCACCTTCAGATTTTCCAATCCAATTTCTTTGCATTTGTTTAACATGTTCTGGCCAATCATTCAACAAATCAAGATCATTCAATAATGACTGATTATATATATAAATATTATTTTATACATAATAATATGTAGATTAATATGAATTAATATAGATTTTTGATTTAAAAAAAAAAACAAAGATATACACATATAGATTAAAAATAAATTAAAATAAAAAACCTCAGTGAAATCAGTGATTTTGATAAACCATTGCTTTAGCTTACGATGCTCCACTTTTGCTCCAGATCTCCAAGAAAATCCATTAGAATCTACCTGGGTGGGTTTTTAGACCTAATATAAATAATTGAATATTATACCGAAATGATCATATTTAAAAAGTATATATTTTTTTGCGATAATTTATTTAATACCTGTTCATTTGCCAAAACTGTTTGATCAATTGGATCCCAATTCACTATAGCTTCTTTTTGGTAAGCCAAATTGGCTTTATATATTTGAAGAAAGAGGTATTGCGTCCATTTATAATAATCTTTATTACAAGTAGTTACTTCCTATAATTAATCCATTAATGAATATTTACTTATTTATTAAATTGATCAATTATTAAACATATAAATATTTTAATAAACCCAACCCTTTCCCAATCAAAATCAGCAAGGATTTTTCCTAGTTGAGATTTCATAGTTTCAATATTACTGATAGTCCATTCTGCAGGATTAATTCCGCGTTCAATTGCAGCATTTTCTGCTGGAAGACCAAATGCGTCCCATCCCATTGGGTGAATCACCTTTACTCATCAACAAAAGGATTATTAATATACAATAACATTACAAGTAAAGCATGCAAGTATAAATATTTTATTTATTTATTTATTTATTTATTATAAATACCTCATATCCTAGCATTTTTTTAAACCTTGCAATAGTATCACTAATAGTATAAACTCTCACATGACCCATATGTAACATACCACTAGGATATGGAAACATTCCTAACACGTAAAATTTTTCTTTTTTCTCATTTTTTTGCTCTTTACTGCTACTATTAGTTACATCATTACTTTTCATTTCTTTCCATCGATTTATCCATTTTTGTTCTATTTCCTTTAAATTAAAACTCTTTGTCAAAGAAGAATAACGATAGTAGTTATTATGCTTCTTATGATATCTGATGAGTACATCAAAAAATTTATTTGCAAATATAAAGTTATTATTATTATTATTGCTACTATTATTAGATACACGTTGAAAATTTCTCAAAATCATTTTTTTATTTTTTTTATTATTGATTATCAAATCACCAGATTAATATCATGATAATAGGTTCGTCTTCTCGTGTTACCATTAGTTCAGACGCCGCCGTGTCACTAATTTAATTCATTTTCTTTACTTTTTTGAACTTTATATTTTTCATCTCAGTAGAATAAAATTTTTTATTTTTCTGAAAACATATTTTATAACGCTCTTTGCAAAAATTTAATTTATTTAATTAGAATATTATTTTTTCGTGACTTGTTTGTTCTTTCAGTCATAATCATCGCAAACCTTTTCGTAAATATTTATATAAAAGATGGCACATGTAAGTATATTATAACATTAACAACTGTTCAAAGGCTTTTTTAAAAAGAAAAACATAGATTGATCATTTTGTTTAATTGATAAAATGTAGCGAATGGGTGGACGGAAAAAGAACAATAAAAAAGGATTCCAATTCACTCTTATGGTTGTTGGTAAGCATTAATGAAAGTTATGCACATCTATCTACACATATATAACACATCCCACTCGACAAATTAAATTTGTATTTAATTTTATGTGACCTAATTTATTATCTGTTCTAGGCAAAAAAATAAATTATCTTTATATTAATTATATTAATAAATATTATTTGAAATGTAGATCTTGTCATTATTAACAATCAAATTAAATAACTACTACTATTATTATTATAATTGAATTAGGCGCATCTGGTACTGGCCGTACAACGTTTGTTAATACACTTTGTAGTAGTGAAGTATTAAAAGCAAAATTATGTGATTCACCTGAAACTGCCCATGTCGAAGAAGGAATTCGTATTAAACCAGTTACAGTTGGTAATTAATTAATAAATCATTTATGATTATTAATATTAAAGGAAAAAAGTTTTTAAACTTTACACACACACACACACACACATATAGAATTGGAAGAAGATGGTGTAAGAATTGCTTTGACAATTGTAGATACACCAGGATTTGGAGACAATATTGATAATGAATTTTGGTGAGAATGCACACACATATATATATATTGATATATATATTATTAATGTAGGCGTTAAAAGTAATAATAATATATATATATATCCACATAAATATTAGTTTTCAAGAAATTATGGGTTACTTGGAAAGACAATATGATGATATTCTTGCTGAAGAATCTAGAATTAAACGTAATCCAAGATTCAGAGATAACAGAGTTCATGCACTTCTTTATTTCATAACACCAACAGGTCATTCGTAAGTAATTTTTATACATTATCTCCTTGAGTTTATAATTTAATTATATGATAATAATAAATTTTTTTTTATTAAATAAAAGTCTTCGAGAAATTGATATTGAACTCATGAAAAGACTTAGTCCACGTGTAAAT